TATATATATATATATAGTGTTAATGTTGTGAAAAAGTTTTAAAAATAAGAAAAATATAATTGTGTTTTCTTGTCTAAAGATGGATAATGTCATCTTTTGTTGATATTGTATTTTAATTAACTTAATCAAGGAGAAAAAAATTGAAAGAGAAGGCAGAAGGAACAACATATTTAGAAGAAAATATGATAGCAACAAAAATAGAAGTTAGCTATAATAATAAACAAATAAAAAGAACTCCACAAAGCAAAACATTTTACTTTAGTTACAAAAATAAGAAAATAATGTAATTGACTATTACATAAATATCATAAGAGTGCGAATATCTTGAAATTTATTTTGAATTTAAGAAACCAAAGAGCAAATTGATTAACGAATACAACATTAATTTTATATAAAACTAATTTATTGCATGTCAGAGATACTTAGAGCCCGTTTGGACATAAGAAATTTTTTCCCTTTTCTTAAAAAAAATTCACTTTTTTTCGAAATCAACATTTGTTCATAAGATTTCCAATTTTCACTTGAAGATGCATTTTGAAATTTTTTGAAAATTTGAAAAACTCCAAGAAGTTATTTTAAATTTTCACTCAAATCACTAACAAAACTTCAAAAATAACCCAAAATTATATTCATGTCCAAACACAACTCTAATTTTCAAATACCACTTTCACTTGAAAAGTTTTTTCACTTTTTCTTTTTTTGAATTTTACAATTCTTATGTCCAAACGCCCACTTATTCACTATTTGAGGTGAAAATAACACCAATTTATTCTCAACTGCTTCATCCACTACATCGACAAAGTTTTGTATCATTTGTTACACCTGCAACAAAACCTCTGATTTAACACAAGTTGGTGTTTAAAATATTATATTTTAGATGAATCCTATTCAGAAAATTATATTGAGTAATAGACAAAGGAAATAAAGTGGAGATAATTTTTTTTCCTGAGATAGTGTCATCTAAACAATTGCAAGAAAAGATGAAAACATAGAGTATTTCTCATAAGATATTCACTTTTCGCACAATAGCTACATCAAAATATTCTTTAAATTGAAAAATATATTGTCCCAATTCCGACGTCAAACCGAAACAATATTTTACCAACCTGAGACCTATAGCATAACAATGAGATGGAAGCTTAAATGCTAACAAAAAACTATGTCTCTTAGAGTAAAGGAAAGATAATAAATCTTCGAAAGCATAGCGTAGTAGACACCATGCATAAACTCTTTCGATCCAACGCTGACAAATACTGGAGTTACTATAGAAGTGATGTTTCTTTGACCTTCATGGCCTGTAAATTCATCATACTTTTAACCTTCATGGCCTGTAAATTCTAAGGTCCTCCAAGACTCTACTACGTACTTTGTGGCGCAGCCTCTCTTTGAATACTCCCTGCAATATGAATGTATAAAATTTGTTAAAATTCTTACATATTATATTGCAAAAAATCTATAGTAATTGAAATCATCATG